TTGCATAGTGGATAGAATATACTTATATAAACATTCGGTGAAAATTAAATTACATTAAAAACCAAAATCGATTTTGTCGAAAAATTAGTGTGCGTAAAATTATCCGCATAATGTTCATAATTGTTTTCATATTTTAACTTTAATATAAATTTTTCATTTATCATTAATTTGTCACCTTCTAAGCTATAGCTTATAGGTTTTTCGGTTACACCTATTGTATATTATATATTAAAATGTATACGAAATATTATTTTTTTAAAAGGTTAGTAGGTTAGTAGGTGTCACTGCAAAGATGAACATTTAAATTCAATAATATAGAATAATCATTATTTATTATACACAAAAAACGATTCTGAGCGGACAGCGGAGACAATGTGTCAGCCTATAGGTATCTTCCATTATATTAAGATTGCTTTATGCAGTAAACAGAGATTTAGCTTGGGTAAGGAAGTTTTATAATCACTACATRTTATAAAATAAATACTTTTATATACTTTTCAAGATTAAAGTAACTAAATAAGGGTTGTTTGATACTTCCTACTCCTAGCTAGATCTACGATCCTAATATTGCTATTAGTATATATATAATGACGGGTATGTTAAACTCATTTTTTGCAAAACTTATTGCATTTCATGCCTAGTATTCTAAAAGGRCGGTCGGTAATTGGGCCACATTTTATCTACCTGCTTCGTATTAAATATTTGCTTACATTTTACTACCTGGAGATTGGACCACAAATTAAATCTTTATTTTTAAAATGTACCTGGAGATTGGGCCATAAATGTACAGCATACAAATATTATATATAAATAACGTTTATTAACTAATAATTATTTTTATTTTAATGCATGAAATACAATAAATTTTTTTTTAATAATGACATACATAGATTTCACAAATTTATAATACAATATATAAGGTCAATAAAATTAGTCAAATGTAAATACTTTAAATTATCRATGTAAATAATGYAATTCATTGTTCCCAATGGCCGATGTCGCCGAGGGTTTGTTCTTTATAATAAAAAAAAAAAACAATTAGGTAGTCAAATAATAATAATTATAAATATTTTTTTCTATAATATACACTTATCTTTTAAAATTATAAGACATTCAGATTTCACAAATTTATCAATACAATAATTAGTCAAATAATAATATAGTAATAATATTTTTTTTATAAGTACCTAGTACCTACCTACATAAAAATACAATTATTTTTTTTAAATAATATGATACCAATTTTACAAATTCCAATCGATTCTTTTTCCCTTCTTCATAATTTTGAATTTCATTAAARATATACTTTTTCCGAATCAAAGTTCGTTTTCTTGCTTTTATCGTTCCTGTTATGCTTCTCATTTTAATATATACTTCGGATTGAACCCCCAATAAAACATTTACAAAATTATGAATATTTGGATGAGACATATAAAAATTGTTTTTGAAATGTGAATAAAAGGACTCGATGGCATTTATATTTCGAGTCACAGATTCAAAATGTAACGCCCATATTATATGCGGAGGGAAAATAGCATYGTCGCTACTCACTAATATAAGTGTCAAAAATATAATCTGAAAATGTAGTTAATTTATCGTTCTGTGGCATCTCACTTATGAGATCCATTTCAAAGCAGTTACCTATTTCTCCTGGATTTTAATTCTAAATTATACTTTTAGCTAGATTATAATTCTATATAATTTCATTATCTTTTGATAAGACACACGGTCGCTTCGATTAAAGTTTCATATGCACTTAATATTTATATATGACATATTAGTTTAACAGAGGCCTAATTACCGGATACAATAATAAAAAATAGTTGAAAATAGTGGCCCAATCACCGGTTCTACGTGTTAAAAATGTAAAATTGTAGTGGCCCAATTCCCGGGCGCCCTTCTAAAATGGTCACTGATTTTTTGATAACAATATAAACTATATAAGGAACCCTTTATTACCTTGAAGCCTTAACTATAAAAATTGAAAATATTATGCATTTTAAGTTTTAACTACAAAATAATTTGAGAATTTTCGAGATTTTGACCAAATTTGAACCAATATAAATGCTTATAAAAAAATTGTTCCTATGCATATCTTTAATAAAAATAAATAAATACATGTTGCATAAAGAAAGAAGTAATTATAAACACCCGAGCGTTCACTAATAAAGTAATAAGCAGAATAATTTTATGATTAAAGGAATGTTACTAACATTCTTTGTAAGCAACAATAGAATCACGAAAATAAAATATATATCACAATAAAAACTTCTTATTACCAAAATATGTAGCTATAATTTTAATAATTTTATATAAATAAGCCGTTACCAGGTTCCTCGGAAGAAACATAKTTTCGCTGGTAACAAAAATTCGAGTGGTTTGCGTTCACCAAGACTATTTCAGTGGGTTAATCTTAATATGATATATTATGTACATATTTTTTAAGTGCGATAAATTTTCCGCACTAAAATGTTTGCCGTAAGACCATCAGCTGCTTACTCTGCGTGTTGGTCTTATACTCTTATATTATATAAGTATATAAGTTATATATAGGATCTATAGTATAGGCATCATGTAATACTATAACAGGCCTATAGACGCTATAATAGTATTCGATTTTCACTTTAAGTTTTTAAACAAGCTATCTATGGAACAATGGACCAGTWGAGAATAATATTTTTACATTTTAAATTAGGTACCTAATTCTAAAACTAAGCAAATAAGTCAATAATTCAATATAATTAAAAATGTTACTATTACACGCAGTAGTCAGTAATACCTACACAATTAATTTATGTTTCGTTAAATTAACTGTTTTCGAGCCAATAGCCACAACGACGAAATCGTAATAAATCTATAGACGTTACGACATTTTTGTTGTTAACTTTAATCAACACGAATTTCAATATGTCTTTGGCAGTTTATAAAGGTAGATACCGCTGTGTTCATTGTATTTTCCMAATTTATTATTGTCCTGGTTTAATATCAAATAACGAATAACAATAAATATCACGTATATACTTAACATTTTAATCGCATCCAACCTATCATAGTATCATTAAACATTTTTAAGGTCCACATTTGAAAGGCAAAAATCAATTCCTAACCTCTAATATGTTTTCTAAATTTACGTCTGGAATTTTGATTATTTCCTTTTTAATTGCTTTTGTGTATTTGGGATGTAATGTTTGTTATTTTATTGCTCACGCTGATTTCATTGTCAACTATTCTATATATTAATATATTATTGATATCCGCAGAATTTGTTGCGGTGTATCTTGATACATTTTTGGACTCAGTAATTAACCGTTAATTGACTTCCTATAGATATGTCATTAAAAGTTTGCAGATTTTTATATAAATACACGATTTTATTGGATGTAGATTTCTTCATTCAGATTAAAATTAATCTCTTTTATAACAATCCAAGTAAAATAAAACGTGAATTCACTGTACAATATTTTTACACATTTTGAAGTAAATACATTTTCTTAAATATTTTACTTATAAGCTTTAAGAATGTAAATGTTTTGATAARTACTTTGTATTTTTAACAAAAATCATTATTCTGCTAGTAACGACTTAAGATCAATAAAATGAAGTTTGACTTTTGACTACATCCAACATGCATAAAATACTTATCATAAAATTATACTTTATTAAAAAAATAATAATTTTAGAAGATAATGATATAATAATATAATATTAWGTTGTATACATCGTGGATGAAACTCATGGACAATGGCCGCCCTTAGATAATATAAAATTGTATTTAATTATATTGAATACCTAGTGTATATTATTTAGTATTTACTATTAAAATATAACGATCTAAATGACCACCCCTAAGATTTATAGAATATCTATGTCATATAGTAKGTAGATATTAGCACCGTAAATGATTGATGGATGGATTTGTGACTATTAGGACCTGGAGTTCATGCATTAAAAGCTATTAAATAATATGCGCTTAAGATCACTAAAAATGCATTTAATTTACTTTTTTACATTAGGATTATTAAGTTTATGGTAGAAATGGTAATTAAAAGAATGAGAAAAATATAATATTAAATGAACAAAGTTGTAATTATACCTTAGAATTAAGGAAGATAACTAATTCAACCTAAGAACCACAAATACTTACTTAGTACTCGGTTTCAGAAGTTAGAACGTTCTTATATTACATGGAGTTCGACGCGGCGACACTAAAATTTTCGATGTGGAAAAATATAAAATCATTCAAAAAATCGTGAATGATTGGAATTAATGATTGATTCCATAACTAAAATAATATAATACTTCTGCGGATCTGGTGATGTGTTCGAAAATACAACGATTAAGTTTTAAATTTAATTTAACCCGAAGTATTATTATATTAGCCAAGAGATCGAAAGAACGAAATGAAGTTTTATCAAAAATACAAGCACAAAATAATTTATTGGTATYACTAGACTCGCAACAAGAGGACGAAGTTGACGTTTTTTTTAAAAGTATTGCCATGACCGTCAAAAAATTCTCTTCACAGGCAATCAACGAAACTAAACTTCGAGTACTGACAATGGTGAATGAAATGGAAGAAAAATATTTGGTTCCTAATAATTRTACAACAACAATTCGATCTCATTACATTCTGCCTTCAAATAGCAACAACATGACACAGTGCCCATCGCCAGCCAACTCATCCAACACTGCTGCATCGAGTTCTTCGTGTGAATTTATGCAATACAACCATGATGAATATAGGTAGGTGCTTCCATATTTATTTGTTGTGTACCTATTTAAGTATATTTTATAAATAATTAATATTAAAGGTTATTTTTTATTATTTATTACAAATTTAAAGTGATTAATATTATTTGTTTTTATTTTATKTAACTTATGAGTTTAAAAATAAAATCTTAATTCAAGAACATTTTGGTTATTTTTGACTTTTAGTTTTTTATTTTTRCTTTTAGAAGTAACTACTATAAATAAATGAACACACAATATTATCRTAATAATAATAATAATAATAATAATCGTTTATTAATACAAAACATATTATGACGTATAATTTACATTTGCCATGGTACGGCTCCCATATTTGCAAAATAATCTTTAAAAATATCTCTTACTCTAACTCCTTCCGTATTAATTAATCCACCTTCTCCAGAAAATGATTTCATGTTATTGTTTTGAGTAGAACATTCCTGATCAAATTGATAGTATACTTTCCCGTTATTTTCCAAGTATGCATCCCGTAACATGTTGTGTAAACAACATGTAACAATGATTAAATCGTCAACCGTTGTTGGAGTAATATTGATTGGCTGATAAAACACTCTGAATATTTGACCTAATAACCCAAAAGCATTTTCGGTTACTCTTCTAGCACGGCTAAGTCTGTAATTAAAAACCGTTTTGTTTTTATCTTCCCTTGCTGATTTTTGAGAAAAGGGCCTCAGAATGTGTTTATGCAACCTAAACGTCTGATCTCCTAGTATAATGTGAGGTACTATTATATTAGTACCTGGAAGAGCACAATCTTCTGGAAATTTGAATACACCATTTAAAATTTGTTGCCCCATGGTAGATTTTAAAAAAATACCGCTATCTCCTTCTCTTCCGTATGATCCGACATCGATTGCTACAAATTTGTAATTTGCATCGACCATTGCCAATAGCACAATCGAAAAATATTCTTTGTAATTGAAAAACAAAGAATCTGAATTATTATTGGGACAACGGATTCTGACATGTTTTCCATCAATTGCGAGAATGCAATTAGGAAAGTTCCACTTTGTCCAAAATTCATCTGCCTTGGTTTTAAAATCAATCATATTTGGATCTGGTAAAAAAATTGGCATTAAATGTTGTTTTAAAACTGCCAATGTTTCTTTTACGATTATACTGATATAACTATAGGATTTACGAAATGCAAATGCCAATGAACGAAAAGATTCCCCGGTAGCTAGATATCTGAAAAAAAAAAATAAATTGAAGATTTAATATTTTCAAATCACTTTGTATTCTGCAGGAACACATTGTATACGTATTTAAGAAAAGGTTATTAATAGTATTAAAATAATTATATCAGAATACCTACTATAGTAAATTTAGTATTTTAGGAATATTATTGTATATATTGTTTATATACAATAATATTATTTTATATTATTATAGACGATTGACAACGAAGTCATTTCGGGGACAAAATAAATACCAACACACTGTTCAGAATCTAAAATAAAACTTCTAACTTGTAAATAAAATAACCCTATGCGTATATCAGAGTTGGGCTAAATTTTATCTTGATAATTATTCGAATAATTTTCAAACATAAATCATAATTATATTAATTACTAGTAAAAAATATTTATTTCAGAATGATTATAATTATTTGTTTAACAAATAAATGTCTGTACTAGTATGCAATCGCCAACGTGCATACTGCGTACATAATGAACATGTTACATGATAGGTACTATATAGCCATTAGATATAAATATGACGGACAATAGCGCGACGCGGCCGTAGTGTTGCGGATAAATCAATCCTAATGTACTTAGAAGAAAATATACAAAATATTATAATATTATAAAATATTAAATTAATACAATCAAACATGTTTTTATAAAAATATTACATTATAAATGTAAAAAAAAATTATTTTTTCAATTTGGGAAGTGTATGCTGTGCATACACAGCATACGCACACGCTACGCCACTGATTTGTTATAATAATACATTTTCATTTTTGCTCTAATTATTTATTTTCATTGTTGCTATTTATTACGTTTATATGATGGCGTTAAAACGGTTTAAAAAATGTAAACCGTTATAAAAGTTAAAACGCTCGCACTATGTAGTTAAAGAAATGTTTTATTTTTACAATATTTACAAACTGTTCGAAAGAACAATAAGCAAAAATTTGATAATAGATTATATAACATGAGTAGGGAACGGATTTCATTGTAATAAAAAAATCAATATATTATGTATATAATATATATGTACCGATTTTTCTTAAAATATGGAATAAAAAATTCAAAATATGTAAAAATCTAAAATATATATTAGTATTAAACGATTACAAAAAAATCCAGAATTTTTTACAATTACCTGTAGCGGCATGTATGAAATTAGTACGTAAATGCCATTTAGATAACATATAATATTTGGAGGTCGTCAAAATTTTTTGAAAAAACGTATAATATTAATTATTGTCGCCAAAAATCAATAAAAAAAATAAAAAATTGCATAAAATATGTACAAAATATGCACTTTTTTACCAAATATGTAAAAATATGTATTAATACCAAAATATATTAAAATATATAAAATAAATTTGAGTTTATTTCAATTAGAGTGATCTAAATCGTATACATTTTTTATCAGATTTTAGAATATGTATTTACAATAAAATCCGTTCCTTAAATTTGAGTAATATGACGGAAGAAGCCACCCATTGATGGCACTACCTACCTATGTTGAAAATTTAGCTGGGGATATAACACAATTTTATTCGAATAACGCCCAATCCTGCCGTAGGTACACTTATTGACCTATACAAAATAACATTCATATTTTAATATTTACCTCAAAGTAATTGCTAATTTTTCTTCAGCTGTTATTGGTTCATGCCTTCGCATTGTTGGTGTATTTTGTATTTGATTTTTTATCAAAGATAAAACAAAATAAAATTGTCGATGATTTAAACGAAAAAACTCGCGAAATTTAATATCATCAGTAGCAAGATGTCCTTTGATTAATTTTTCGAAAAATCCTTCCGATTTTCTTGTCAAAAATAAATTTGATATTGGTTTTCTTCTCTTATTTATTGTATGCACTAACAATTGATCATCTTCTTCTTCCTCTTTTAACAGCTCCAACATAATTTTATTATTATTCAACATTATTTGGCGATACATTTTAAAAAAATTATTAAAATTAAAATTAAAAAGAAAAACACATTCGCACAGGACCACAGTTGAACTATGAATGATATTACGAGTGTTTTGTCTTTTGTAGGAGTCACGGTGACTGCACGCTACAGAGAAAACGGTTGAGTCTCGGCGTCTGGAAACCGCGTTCGATTGCGTCTGGACGCCGCGACTGAACGCTGCAGAGAAAACGTACCTGTTTGACAGAGCCTTAGAAAAAAATCTTAAAATACCTATGCGAAAATATGCAAACACTAAAATTTATTTTTGAAATCGTTAGGTTGTGATTCAATTAAAATCAATGTTTAAAATATGTACACAGTAAAAATATACTAATGTATAAACTTCAGGGGCCTATTCTTTATAACTTTATAAATCTCTATAATGATATTATCTACTGTGCCCTGGTCTTTATGTTATGAAAGTCTGTGATAATAAATATTATTATCTAAGTTTATCAGTAACCACAGTTGTCTGATAATGGAATTTAAAAAATAACCGCATGCATGGAGTATTGGAGTATCAAAATACGTATTATCAGTGTTACGTGAAAAAAATATATTGTTATCAATACGTTAATTATTTTTTGATTAAATAATTACTTATTACTAAATTTACTTATGTGTCATTATATATAAAAAAATAAAARTAGTATTATAATAAATTATTATGTACATGTGTGCTTTAGTGAGAGCTGAGTACGATTAATATAGTTAATATTAATATAATTCGAATACCTGTACGATGAAAGTACGTACGTGTGCGATTTGATATTTGTTTTTTGGAGGTTTCGCGTGTCATTTCCAACATCACTATGTTCGTTTTCCACAAAGTACGTAAAAATGTCCCTCACATCAAGCAAAACACCGAACTGCTGTTCAACAACACCGGGCCATGTATCAAAATCATATCGTGCGTGCTGTCTGTGTGTTATTTTTTTTCGTTTTGGTCCAAGGGCTCGACATTGTTCGTTGTGACGCCCGGTTACTTGTTTCCGCCATCGTTCTGGCTATGGACACCATTCACATTCTGTTTCTTCGAAACGCACTTGTGGCAAGTACTACTCGACATCGCCATGGTGGCTGTGTGCAGCAAGCTCATCGAACCCTTGTGGGGTGAACTACAGGTTGTTGTGTTCTTTGCCGTCGTTAATATCGGAGTGGCGTTGGCATGCGCTATGTTTTATTACATGCTTTACATGTGCACCTGGGACCCGGAATTGTTGTTCTCGGTGCATGTGCGTGGCTTGGCGGGATATCTAGCTGGCGTCACCGTTGCTGTAAAACAGATCATGCCCGATAGCACCGTGCTTGACACACCTGCTGGTCGCATCACCAACCGCAATGTACCATTGTACACAATATTTATTTCACTCGTACTATGGTTCATCGGTTTTGTCGATGGCACAAAACCGACAATGGTCATCAGTGGAGTGTTGACGAGTTGGACGTATTTGAGGTTTTATCAGATACATTCAAACGGAACCAGAGGTGATATGGCTGACAATTTTACTTTTGCAAGGTATAATACTACATTACCTATCTATATGCGTTTTTAACTTGATTTTTTTAAAAGTTTTTTTCCAGTTATTGTCCAACCACCGATTTTAGTGTTGTCTAATTCAGTATATAGCATTTTTGTAAAGGCTGGTATATGCAGAAAGACTGTACGTAGAGTTGATATTGCCAGTGCGCCAACTGGTATTACTGTGGCATTGCCTGGCATTCGATCACTTGATATGGACAGAAGAAAGTAAGCGAATTTTAACTATTTCTGTAGTTACCTTAGAAAACCCCCTAGTTTAACTAAATATAAAAATAAAACTTAAAAGATATTTGGTATTTATGTCATATGCGGTCTACCACWTACTTAAAAATATAAATGAATACATAAATGTAGAATTACAATATAATATAATATAATTCAAAAAAATACATAAAAATATGTAGATAAACTTAATTAGTATATTTTGTATTAAAAACTAACTGACAAAAAATGTAAAAATGTATAAAAATATGCATTAATTCATTATAATATATGACGCTACCATTGTTCCGCCAAATACAAGGGCAGCAATGATGGAGATGTACCATGCATTTTTTTAATAATTCAAAGTTTTAAATCAAAATAATGACCAAAAAAATATATAGGTACATGRCAATAGACCGCATATGACGTGTAGAAACATAAATGGTAGATGACAAATGTGTGGTAGACCGCATACGACATGAATACCAGATATTTAATATAGGTACCTAACATGAATAACATAATTATTTTTTAGGTATTTATGAATTATTTTATTTATTTTTGTAACAAAACTGGTTGATACTTTATTGAAAATAAAAATCTATGAACTATTAGGTGTAGTAATCAGGTACTATTCATATACATCTAAAACGGTAATAAACTAATAACTGATAAAATACCAAGTATACCACTATCAATATTATTTTCAATCAATCCTTTATTTTTAATAGAATTAATATGGTTTTAAATTATTAACCTTTTCTTTGGCGCTGTAATGCTCTAAAAGGAGCGCAGTGGCTATTCTTATACTATTTAAATGTTTTTTTTTCAAATAAAACAGTAAATGCAGTTAGTACAATATCATTATAATCTTAATGTAATAAATATATTATTGGTAATGTATTAAATAACAAAATCCAAAATAGTATCCAGTAATATGAGGATTTATAAAATCATAAACAATTTTAGATATAATTTGTCTGGGAGAAAGGGGCCTTTAGATCCAGGGGAATCTTTCTTTGTACTCAACACAATACTTACATGTGTCGGGCTATTACTAAAATTTTGGTAAAATATGGAGGAATAAACAACAATAAGTGTTTTAATTTGAGATGAGTATATTCTAAAGAAAAATTTGTGTCAAATCAGATTTTAAATATGCTGCTCATAAGCAATATTGACGCATATGCTAATGTACCAAGTCTTCAAAGCCCTGACATACCTAATGTGATATGATTTTTAAATGATTCTAATACTGAAATTGTAGTTATAGTATACTTTATAATGTTAGCTTATCTTTTTATAACTGATTCTTTGTTTTATTATAGATTGTTAGCCTTAAAGGCTCTTAATAGCCGATTAGTTGATACTACCAAAGATACACCAAGAATGGATAATACAGAATCTGAAAGAAGAGACTCTGTAGTTATATCCATTGGAGATACAGAACAGAATACAAGACTATCACCTACCAATATGGTTTCGAATAAAACAACGTAGTTTACCTAGTTGAATTATTAAATGAGTAATATATAATAATTTATTCATGTATTTTCATAATTGTAATTTACTCTACTATACAAGAGTCTAGAAAGTATAGAAACATTTTACATTGTTTATATGCACATATAAAATATGTTCTGTTTGTTCTAAACACTCAGTATCTATTTTTTACATTATTTATTGATTTGTTGTACATTTGTTAATATTGTAAATAGGTAAACTAGGGTATTTTAATAGCTGATTAATGATTATATAACTATGTATTTTCTGTTATATAAACCTGATTATGGGTTTTCATTATAATTATTTGTATAATTATTAATATTAATAATTAATATAACATAATATTTAATGTATATATAAGCCTGTGATAATAAAATAACTAATAACTAATGATGATTTATTACTAGTACAAAATACTGAGCTATCTTTGAAGGTGAAAGGTTATTACTAATTCCATCATGTACAACTGTGTTCATTACAGATATAGAGTGTGTACTTTGTTAGGAAGTATGTTGTTCAATATGGGAGTATGATTATACCTTTAAAACTTAAATAAGCTAAACTTATATGTGTTAATAGAGTTTCAAAAAAAAGTTAAGTTACTAACATATTGACTGACTATTATACATATTATTATGCAGTTATGTCCAGATAAAAATAGCTCAAAATTTGAAATGTATATTATATATATATATATCCATAAGCTTAAAGATCATATTAAAATCTGAGGTCATCTAGATGATAAGCTTTAGCGATATACCAAAAAAGTATAAACATAATGTGCTTGTAGTTTATTATAATGTATAGCTCTTAGTATTTGCTGTTTGTTTTATCATGGCGACTGTAAGTAACTAATTTTAATTTAATTTCTTCAATAAATTGTTATGAATTTTTTATTAACAGAAAAAAGTATTGGATTTGAGGTACAATGAAATGTGGAAGGCTTGGAATAACACATCTGAAGAAGAGGATGATTATTCTTCACCATTGTTTAAACAGGATTTGGTGCTGTCATGGAAACAATTGAATGTAACGGTTATTAGGAAAATTCCTAAAATATTTGGTAGTAGTGAGGTGGAAACCAAACAAATTTTGAACAATGGTAAGTTAGCAAAAATATACAATATTCAACAATATTGTTTATACTGAATTTTTACCAAACATTTTATTTTTGCTTTGACAGAAATTGCTAGTAAAATTATTGCTATATTTATATGAATGTATAATTTAAAGCTATTTTGAAACCTTATTGTATTCTATATCAAAAGGCACAATACTACTGACCTCTTTAGTCTGTTATTAAGAAAAAACCTTTTAATAAAAAAGACCAATGGATAAAAAGTAAAAAAAAAAAAAAAATGTATTAGCATGGTCTATTATGTGATAACTCTGATTTTGGTAATACACTAGTGAATATTAATACAGTAATAGATTTAAATTAGTTCAACTTTTTTTAGATGATTTTGGTACCCATCCTTAATATTTTTGGGAAGAACTTTCAATTTTCATTCTAATTATTTAATATTGTCTCATAATTATTATTCAAAAAATATCCGATTAAATCATAGTTATTAGTTTGTAGTATACTAATAACAAAGCATATTTATGTATTATTCAAAACAAAAATCTAAACTTAACTACACTATTCATTATTCAAATAATTAAACTCTACCTATAAGTGGTTCTCATAACATTCATACCAGTTCAATTATCTACTTCATAAGTATATTATAAACATATTTTAAATATTTAATTTATGAAAGGTGTATTTTGAAAATATTACAGTTGATCAAAAACATGGTCACCTATTCAATATACTATGATATTGATACTAATAGAATATTCATATAATATTTTCAGTTAGCGGTAATGTTGAATGTGGTACTCTTTTGGGAATTATGGGTCCAAGGTTGGTTATTATAAAATATAATTTTAAACATTAATTATGTATTAACATGAATTTTTATTTTATTATATTTAATATAGTGGTTCGGGAAAGACTACACTAATGGCTACAATAAGTCATCGAACAAAAGGTTAGTTAGTAGTTTACATAAGAGAAAAATAAAATATAATAATTATAATCTGTGCAATAGATATTGTTTATAAATATATCAATTGTATATTTATAACTAGAAGTTTAAAAAAAACTGTATACAGTATTCAATTAACAGCTTTAATTCTTAACTTAATTGTATCTGTTCTGTTAGTAAGGTGAATCTAGTTGCTACTTTTGGGAAGATAAAATGGAAAATTTTCATTAATTTTCAAAAGCATCAGGAAAAATATAAAAAAATTAAGAGAAATCAATTAACTCAAAACCAGTTGAAAAAAAATCATTTGTTTTTATTGATGTGACAAAAAAAATCTCAGATACCTACATGAAATATCCACATAATGCTTATGCCTTTTTATCAGTAATTTCTATGCACCAACCTTTTCAAAATATTCAGGTTAATTTTGTGCTATTTCTTATTTATATTATCCACCTATTCACACTGTTCTATGGTAAAATGGTATGACACATTTGTATACAAATAATAAAATATAGAAATCTTCTAAAATATTTATGTCTAAAATATCAAAATACATTCGATGAAGGCTTGAAATATAGTTGACATAGGCTTGCAGACTATGAAATAACTGTAATTGTTTATCTTAGACAGTGATAGGTATATTATTAAATTTAAAATAAAAACATTAATTACAGTGACGCTTTGAAAACCTGTTGTACAGCAAAGTAGTACTCACTTGTCTGTCCATTCCATTATATATAGGTATATCTATCTATACATTTTTGTTTTTTTAAATACATTAATCTATTATAATATTAAAATATTATAATTCCAAGCCCTAAATACATATTTTAATAAACTGAATGAAAATACTTGAGTATTAACTATTAAAAAAGCGGGTAAGTCGTGGATGTCGCTCTGCTGTACAGTAGGTTACTGTAATGGATGGGATTAAATTTGAATGCAATGATAGGTATCATTTTATACAAAAAACGATTCTGAACGGAGATGATTTGTCAGTCTAGGATATATTATATTTAAATACTGTCATATATTCTATTTTGAAACAAATATTTTATTTTTCAATAAAGATGCATTTTGCATAAGGCATGGTTAATCAATTAGTGTAGTTATCATGTAGTTACAGTCCCTAAAATATTCAAATTTTCGTACTACACTCCTAAGTCCTAGTCCCAAATCAGTCAAATCTAAATTATACATACAATAGTATCTATCAATTAATGATAATATGTATTTACAATAAATAATTTTATTTAAATAAAGTAGTACCTCAAATAAACAAATTTAAAGGTTCTTTWWAAAAAAAAATTGTGAAATAGAATTTTTGTCGAAAAAAAAATTTTTTTGTATATAAACCATTATAAGTGTTCAAAATGCATGAAAATAATAATACATAATATCAGTAAATAAATAAAAATAAATTTAAATTACCTATATTAAGTATGTAAATTATAGTTTTTTTTTTATTCTTTGTGGTCGAAGAACTTTCTGATATCCTGAATTAATATTGTTATATAAAAATTGTATAGAATATTATTATAAGAGTTGTTACAACACACTTTTAAATTTTGTACTACACACTGAATTTTTCGTACTACACAAAGTGTGTCGTACTACACAAAGTGTGTCGTACTACACACAATTTTAGGGACTGTGTAGTTATCATAATTCATAATACCTTATATATACGAATACCTGGTTTGAGGATAAATCGTTATCATT